GGAGAAAAACAAAAAAAAAAAAAAAAAAGAAAATTTATTTGTATTGCTCTTTATATCATTCATTCTTACAAGTTAATCCAGACAGGTGATTTTCAAATAAACCAAATAGAAAAAAAAAAGAATCCCACTGATAAAATTTCAAGCAATAGGAACTCAGATTGTAACATAAGACAGTAGGAGCAAAAATTAGCATATACAGTAGCCTACAGATGCTGACCCTCAAAAACTTAGGATATCAGAGTGACATAACATATATAGTGTTTTTATTTCTTTCCTTTTTGATTTGTCTTTGTTTTGTCTTTTTCATTTTCATTTTCTTTTTTTTTTTTTTTTTTTTTTTTTTTGTTTTTTTTAGACAGGGTCTCACTATGCAGTTCAGGCTGGCCTTGAGCTCACTTTGTAGCCCAGGCTGGTCTCAAACTCACAACGATCCTCCTGCCTCAGCCTCCTGAGTGCTGGGATTATAGGCGTGCACCACCACACCTGGCATCTTTTTCATTTTCAATGAAAGAAAAAGGAAGAAAATCTGAGATTAAAAGAATATCTAAAATGATCAAGCTGATTTGAAAAAGAAACAAGTAGAACTTCAAAAAATGAAAAATAAGATACTCAGATACTCCACATGTAAAAAGTGGATGAGTTACTACAACCACATAAAAACATGCAACCGGCATGATAGCAAGCAACTGTTGTCCCAGGTACTTGGGGCAGGAAGATCAGTTGAACCCAGGAGTTTGAGACCCCCTTCCAAAAAAAAAAGCAACACAGGGAGACCCTCATCTCAAAATATATATATGAATAAAATAACTGCTAACCTAGAATTCTGTATGTAGCAAGAAATAACTTAAAAAGCACTGGAAAAGTTAGGAAAGAAATAGTACAAAATAAAGTGTTAGGATATAGCAATATAAATTAACTACAATAAAAGAAGCTGTTTCAATTAGGGGACAAAAGATAAAGAATATTATCTACATTTTTAAAAAAATTCATGTCTAGCCAGGTGTGCACACCTGTCATCCCAGCTCTCAGAAGGCTGAGGCAGGAGGATCAGGTTCTAGGCCAGCCAGAACTACATAGTGGTTCTCAAAAAAAAAAAAAATCTAAGCTATCTTTTTTCCTATCCTGGAGATTGAATCTAGAGCCTTAGTTATGCTAGGTAAGTGCTCTACTATTGAGCAACATCTCCAGCCTTTTATATTTTGTTTTGAGACAGCGTTGTTAAAGTTTCCCAGGCTGGCATCAAACTAGTGATCCTCCTGCCTCAGCTTCCCAAGTAGCTGGATTACAGGCATGGGATACCACACCCTCCAAGGCTGTGTTAAGAGACAAAGATGGAAAGTAAATAGACAGGCCAGGTGTAGTGCATGCTTTCCAATCCCAGGGCTCAGTAGGCTGACACAGGAGGATCACAGTGAGTTCAAGGCCAGCCCAGAGTTTACAGCAAGGTACTATATAAAAAAAAAGTAAATAGACAAAAACAACGTATTTTGAATAGGAGAAAATTTTCTCAGTTTAATAAGTAACATCTATGATGACAAAACCCATAATGAACATTTTAATGATAAAATATTAAACTTGTTCCCCTAAAGTCAGAGACAAGAGTGGACAATACCAGTACTCCACTGTCTATAGTGGCCTCAACCATACAGAAGGGCAAGAATAGACATACAGAAATTAAAAAGGATAAACAAGACCTTTCATAGGTAATCAGTTTATAAATCCACAAGTAAATGATAGTTTTAGGTGTGCTGAACACTATTCTTTTAAGTCATGTATAAAGCATTAAAACATCAAATACTCAAGGCATGATCTTTATAAGAAAAGGTACAGTTTTATTGAAAACATTCAATGAGGAGATATACCATGTTCATGAACCGGAAGATTCAATGTCACGCAGATGCTGAGTTTCCCCAAACTCATCTATAGATTCAATAGGTTTCATTTGAAGAGGTTTTCATTGACAGAATTTGACAAGCTGATTCTAAAATGTGTATGGAAGAGCAAGGGCTCTCAGTGGGTGATTCCCAAAGGTCATGGTATATCAAATAACCAGTGGAACAAAGCAGAAAAATTAAATGTGGTATGTCCAGTGGATCACTGTACAGCAGGGAAAAGGAACTCCCTGCAGCTTCATGCAATAATTTGGATACAATTCAGAAACATAACATTAAGTTAAAAAAAAAGTCATAGAAGAATAAATTCCACAATTCCATTTATATAAAATTCAAGAACATGCAAAACCAATACAAACATAACAAAACTATCTATAAAGCAAAGCGAGGGAATGATTAAGACAGGACACCATGTTCTCTGCCAGGGAAGACTTTAAAGGAAATGATAGTTTCTTGTGTGTGTGTATAGGGGTTATAAATATTCTCTTGCATCTCTTCACCATTAAATAAAAAACACAAAAATAAGATATTTGGAGGGCAGGGGATGATGCAGGAACAAAACAGGACGGATCTGCCAGTGCTTATGTACAGCACACAGGGCCAGGCACATCTTTTTTAAAAACTAGCAATCGCATATGCTGATTGGAGGAGATAGTCACCTCTGTGGCATAGGCAGAACCTGTCGGAGTGGGTTCCCTGAGGCATTCTGGGGAGACAAGCCTATTATTTTACAGGAGGACCCCAGCATTATCTGTGGTCTTTCACTTCACCTCATTTTTGGTCCAGCCCCTCATCCCCCCCTTCCCCAGTTCCCTCAAGACCCAGAGCCTCTCTGATCCAGTTTCTCTTCCAGTAACTAACTCCACTCCGTCCCAGAGGGTAGCTGCTTGGCTGCTCAGGGGAGGTGCACCCAGCAGCTCCTTAGACGCTTTCCATCTGTCCCCACTGCTGGCCCAAGCTTCCCTATTGGTGGAATTCCTGAGCCTCTCCACGGGGCAGTTCTTGCCTCTCCCTCAGAACATGCTATTTCAATTTCTAATTCACTGCTAGAGGGTGAATAGGGCTCTAACAGCCTTCTATCTTTCAAAGCATTGTCAAGAGCCAGGTGTGGTGGTGCCCACCTGTAATACCAGCACTTGGGAAGCTGATGCAGGAGGATTGCTGTTGAGTTTCACTACAGAGTGAGACCTTGTCTCAAAAAAAAAAAAATTGTCAACCTCTTTGACCTACTGCTATCTCCTATATTCCTTCCTCTTGTAAATTTATATCTATTTTATTTCTTTAGTATCATTTTAGAGGCTCTCAGAGCAGAGATAAACTCATGCATTGAAGCCTGCTGTTTCCTATTCTTACATAAAAAGGTGGAACACACAGCTCCAAAAGCCACAGAGGGGCACAGCCATGGTCTTGGCAGCCCCAGCTGGCTACTTTGGCCTGATTATTTTTTTTCCTTTTTGAGACAGGGTTTCACTATGCAGTTCAGGCTGGCCTTGAACTCACTTTATAGCCCAGGCAAACCTTGAACTCACAAGTGATCCTCCTGTCTCAGCCTTCCGAGTGCTGGGATTACAGGCATGTGCCACCGTGCCCCATCTTTGCCCTGATTTTTTTCTTGCTCCCTTTCCTTACCAGCTATGCATGGTCAGGGAAGAGCACAAAGACCTGTGTTCAAATCCAGCCTCCTCCATGTACTACCCCATAACCTTAGCACATCAACTCCTCCAGCTTTACATTTTTCACTCACCAAATAAGGATAATTGCTGCCCAGCATACCTGGGTAGCTAAGAGAGGTTCCAAACTTAGAAGCTCTCAGAATGTTGCAGAAATGTTTCCAATCATAGAGACTGGGACTGTAAAGCACATCTGAATTTTCACTACCTGTATCCTACTCCCCTGCCAGGGCCAGAGAAGACACAGCCCTGGCCCCTCAGACACCCTATGGCTTCCAGGCCTAATAAAAGAACAAGAACAGGAGACAGGGCAACAAAAGGAGGACTAGAAACCCAGTAAAGATGCTGGGCATGGTGGTGCATGCCTGTAATCCTAGCACTCAGGAGGCTGAGGCAGGAGGATCGCTGTGAGATCAAGGCCAGCCTAGACTACATAGTGAGTTCAAGGCCAGCCTGGACTACATGATGAGACCTTGTCTAAAAAAGAAAAAGGAAAAAAAGAAAGAAAAGAAAAGAAATCCAGTGAAGGACAGAGGAAGGCCAAGGACCCAATGGTCACTTTATTAGCCTGGCAGAGAGGGGCAGCTGAGCAAGCCCTTGCCAGATTCCTCCATAATCTCTGCCAAGAGAGGCACAGGTACAAGACCTGAGCCCAACCTGGAAGCTGGGTAGGGGCTGCAGTGCCCTACTCCAGGCATTAAGAAACAACCTGACCTCCCTTCTGTGCCTGGAGGTGAGGCTGGAAACATGTTAACAGCCCCCCAAACACACACACCTCTTCCTGCTCCTGTCTGTCCTGTTTAGTTTTGGCTCCTCCTGGAGTCAGGACGCCATGAGTCCCACATCAGCTGTGGTCTGGAAAGTGATCCCATCCCCAGGCAGAGGGGAAGCCAGGAAGGGCCAGAGCCAGATGAGGGCCCAGCGGGGCCCCAGGGCTGCCTGTAGGTTGTGGCGGGCACCCAGGTCATAGGAGTGCTGGCCCCGAGCCCACTCCCACATGGTCTGGCCCCGCAGCAGCAGCGTCCCATGGAACAGCAGCCCAGCCCCGCAGAGCAGCGCACCTGCCACACACGTATCCATCACGAAGGCCAGGGCAAACTGGGCCAGGGACACTCGACCTTCAGGGAGAGAGCAGAGAGGGTCAGGGGGAGGCAGCTGGGCCCAGCCCTCCCAAAGCCCAGTCTTCCCTCCAGGGCCCACCCCTACCCTCCAGAGCTCACTGCCCAGTTTGCAAACACTAAGTTGTTACTCACTGGCCAACCCATGCTAGATTATGGAAACACACTGCTGAGCAGGACAGACAGCCCTGCCTGTGATATGACTTCCATTCACGTATCACAAAACTGGTGCATAAGTTCCGGACACTATAAATACTGAGGTGAGACAGCATCTCTGCCCTTAGGAAGCTGTCAGACATAAAGCAGATAGTTTGCTATTTCTTTACAACTATGCCTGTGTCACAACAGAAAAGTACACATCTTATACCATCTTTGTCACAGCAGGCAATGAATATCTGCTGAATAATGAACTACAAGATTCCCTGAAACACTGTACTAAGTGAGAGAAGCCAGACACAAAAGCTCACGTGTTATGTGGTGTCCTTTATATAAGATGTGCTGAATCTGCTAGTGCATAGAACTCGAAAACCCATTAGTGGCTACCAGAGCCAGAGAGATTAGGGAGGAATAGAAGGAGTCTGCTTAATGGATTCAGGATTTCTTTTTGGGGTGAAACTGTTCTAAAATTGGATAGTGAAAATTGCTCTACTACATTGTAAATATACTAAAAGCCACTAAATTGTACACTTTTTTTGAGACAAGGTCTCACTGTAGCCCAGCTTGGCCTTGAACTCACTGTGATCCTCCTGCCTCAGCCTCCTGAACGCTGGGATTACAGGATTAAGCCACCATGCCTGGCTTGAATTGTACACTTTATTTGTTTATTTATTTTTTGGGTACTGGGAATCGAACTCAGGACCTTGAGCTTGCCAGGCAGGAACTTGTGCCACTGAGCTACATCTCCAGCCCAAATTGTACACTTTAAAATTGCTACAATGATGAATTTTACCTCAATAAAGAAAAGCCCCATGATAGGAGGGTTGCCATACAAACATACTGAGAGGGCAGAGGAGGGAGACTTGGTCTATTTTAACAAGTGGAGAGAGAACATTCTGTTTGCAGATGGGACAGAGAGGGCACAGGTGAGAGAGGGAGTCCACAGTCTGAGATGCAGTCTCAGGCTGGACACATGGATCTGTGAGTGGTGGGGACCTGGGGGCTCTGAAACTCCCCGGGGTGGCTGGATCTGCCAGAGCACATGCAGCAAGAGGAGAACCAGGCTACCCTCAGACATCAGATCATGGGGAAAGCAAACCCCACGTGGTGATGGGTGACTCCAGCTAATTGGGAGGCTGAGTTGGGAGGATCACTTGAGCTCACGAGTTCAAGACCCGCAAAACCCCACTTCAAAAATAAATAAAAAGAGGAACTAAGATATATCATGTACAGGTACAAGTTCCCTATGATGAAGGTGATCCTTATGTATATCTAAACTGTACCAATAAACTTAATGAAAAAAAAATAAATAGGAAACCAGAAAGGAAGGTGGAAACACCATGAAAGTCAGAAGTATCAGTGAAACCCAGGATGCAAAAGTCAAGCATGCAACAACTGGCAGTTTTTTAGTCTAAAGCGTCTCTTCCAGTAAAAGGGAACTGGAAGGTCCTGAAGATTTGGTGAAAACAGCCTGGACCCGTGGTGGTCTCAGAGGAGGGGTGGGGCAGAAGCCGGGCACAGCAGTGGAAGGAAGAAGGGAAAATCAGCCATGAGCCCTGCACAAGTCCTTCTGGAAGCAGCAGACGGGACAGGAGAAGAACAAGGCAGGGGGAAAATGCAGGGTGTGGAGTCTGCACAAAGTCGGAAACCCCAAAGGAAGCCAGCAGGGGGGCCAGGATGCAGGGGAGCAGTAGACACCACAGAGGGAGGTGTCCGAGCGGGGAGGAAGGTGACAGCCCTAACCACTAGGGACAGTCAGCCAAGCACAGGATGACCGTGGAAGTAGCATCTGTTCTCTCCATGCTGGACCTTGGGGGACAGGAGAGTAGGGAAGGTTTAGAGGAGCAAACTTTAGAGAACAAAGGCTGGAGCCGGGCGTGGTGGTGCACGCCTGCAATCCCAGCACTTGGGAGGCTGAGGCAGGAGGATCGTTGCGAGTTCGAGACCAGCCTGAATTGCATAGTGAGACCCTGGCTCAAACAGACCAAAAAAAAAAAAAAAGACAACAAAGTCTGGCCAGCTGCAGCTGAAGGCCTGTTGAGGTCAGTGGCCATGAACATGGCAGGGGACCATGTCAGAGGCAAACACAGAAGGCCCTGGAAGGTAGAGCAGAAGGAGTACAAGCAAGGAAGCTTGAGGTTGGCAGAATGGTGGGAAATAGAGGGCTCTAAATTGAACATAGACAGTAAAGACGGGGCAGAGGAGGTAAACAGAAAGGTGACAGCCAGGAGCCTGCAGGGCCCAGCAGCTCCTGGGACAGGTGTCACAGAGTGGAAGAGTGAGAGGTGGAGAGGAGGAGAAGGGGAGGAGGAACTAAGAGCCAGGAAGAGGGCTGACTAATGGGCTGGCTTTGGAGGTGATGTTTCAGGCTGTGACAAGGATGGGCATGTGAACATGAGTGGGAGAAGGAAGTCGAATGGAGAAGGTCAAGAAACAGTCATACGGGTGCAGATGAGACCGTTCACACAGGCTTTCAGATGCTCGTGATTTCTCAGGGCACAAGACTGAAAGATCAGGAGGTGGAGCCTGAGACTTTGGTGCCTGGGAGCACTGACTGGAGGCTGTGATGACAGCAAAGAGGAGGGCTGAGCGCTGAGCCTCAGGGCACCCCAGGGGCATCACGGAGGGTGAAGGAGGGCTGCTCAGGGAGTCACTGTGGACAGAGGACTCTGACAAACCCCGTGGGCCTCCAGAGTCTGCCCCTGGCATGGGGGGAGGCAGACGCGGCGGGGAGCAGAGCTGGACTCGGGCAGGATGAGGAGACACAGTGACATCTCAGAGTTGGGGAGGTAGCTAACAGGACAAGTTTATAAAGGATGGTGAGAAGGTCAGGAGGAAGGCAAGAGAGAAAGCCCACACATCCTCGAAGGGAGAGAAGAGACAGTAAAAAGTCTTTGGAAATATGATCAGGGGTAGTGTCAGAGGAGAGTATACACGTCATTCAGAACACCGCATCTTAGCCTCCCATCTCGTCTTCCGCTCCCAATGACTGGGCACTTCCCTGCCCGGACCTTCCTCTGGCTCCCTGCTGCCCCGTCAAGTCGGACTCATGTGCTCACACCAGCGTTCAAGGCCATCCACCGTCCAGTGCTGACCTACTGTCCTCGCCTTCATCTCACAATTCCCACCAACTTGCTTTTGCTCCTTTTGGGCCTCTGTTCATGCAGCTGCCCGCACTCAGAGTGCCCCTAACAGTGTTTTTCCACACCCCACCACCCCCATGGACCCCTACTGCTCTTTCCTCCTCTGCCAACAAATCCTGGAATCCTTCCTTCCTCTCCCGGACAAGACCTGACCCTGCCTGGGGGCACTGTATTGATGTACAGTGCTGCACACCCACCAGGCTGCCCTTAGCCCTACAGACGGCAGTAGGACTGGTCCCCAGCGCAGTTCCAGGAGAACCAGCCAGAAACTCCACCTCCCATCAGAAGGGGCTTTACTCCTTGCACCACTGCAGGCCTCCCAGGGACCCTACCTGTAAGCAGCATGAGCCAGGGCAGCAGGAGGAGGGCAGCAGTGTGGAGAGGCGCATGGGTCCGCAGCAGGGCTGACAGGGCAGGGCCCAGCAGCACAGAGACGTGGAGGAGGACACCGGAGGCATGGAGCAGCAGGCACAGGAAGTGCCGGTAGTTGTGGAAGCCCACGCAGCGGCCCAAGAGGCGGCAGTGATGGTCCCGACGCAGGATGCAGACACGGCAGGCAGTGCAATGCCCGCTGCGTGGTGGCACCTGGCTCTGGCACTGGTAGCAGAAACTGCAGCAAAGGAGCCACAGGGTCAAGGCCAGCAGCTCTGAGTGCCCCCGATCCCACCCAGTGTAAGCCCCCGCACCCATCCTGGGGAAGCAAAACAGCCACCTGCCCTGGCCAAGCCTCAGGTTCCTTGCAGAAAAAGCAGGCTAAGATTTTCCATGCTCTCTGGGGCAAGGGCTGCAGGGCTGGGGTGGTTTCCAGCTCTGACCTTCCTAGGCCTAAGGCCTTTTTCCAACCACTAACCCTCAATCCTCTCACTTCTTCCACAGGGCCCCAAGTCCCCATGAACTGTCCCTGCCATTATTACAGTAGCTTCTTGACTGTCTCCTCCAAGCATAATCTCATCCCAGAAGCCAGACTGAGCCTTCTAAAGCTTATTTGATCCCCGCCCCCTTTGCTCAAAACCCTCCAATGGCTGTCCATTTCCTTCCCAGTGAAAAACAAAGCCTTCAAAGTGGTAGAGGTCCTTATGGCTCTAATGTCTCTTGCTCTCTCTCGCTCTACCCCTATCACTCTTGCTGTTCTGGGAATATACTAGCCACACAACTCCCTCAGGGCCTTTGCATACATACTATGGTCCCTCTGCCTGGAACACACTACCCTTAAATGCCCACAAGGCTAAGTCATCTTCAAGTTTTTGTCAATGAGGTCCCCCTTGACTACTTATTTATTTATTTAGGGGTGCGGTGAGATATGTAGTAGTCCAGGCTAGCTTTAAACTCAAGGCAATCCTCCTGCCTCAGCCTCCTAAGTGCTGGGCCTGCACCACCACACCCAGCGCTTATTTTTATTTTTTTGTCTTTTTGAGACGGGGTCTCGCTATGCAGTTCAGGCTGGCCTTGAGCTCACTTTGTAGCCCAGGCTGGTCTTGAACTTGCAGCAATCCTCCTGCCACAGCCTTCTGAGTGCTGGGATTACAGGTGTGCACCACCATGCCCGGTTTATTTTTATTTTTAATTGCAATGTTCACACTAGGATTTCTGAATGTAATGCAGAATTATTAAATCAATGGGATTAACAGATCCATCACCTCAGACAGTTATTTCTGGTGGTGAGGGCTGACTACCTATTTAAAACAGAAACCTGAATTCCCTTTAGCTTGCTTTATTTATGCACTGGGAATTGAACCCAGAGAGCAATGAGCTACATCTCCAGCATCCCCCCTCCCCCACCTCTTTTGTACTGGGGGTGAACCCAGGGCCTTGGTACTGAGCTACATCCACAGTCCTTTTTTATTTTTGAGACAGGATCTTACAAAGTCGCTAAATTGCCTAGGTTCTTGCTATTCCCCTCCTGCAGCCTCCCAAGGTGCCAGGATTACAGAGTGCACCACTACATCTAGCTTCTAGTCCTTTTTAATTGTATGTTGAGTCAGGGTCTCATTAAATTGACCAGATGGCCTCGCTCTAATTTTTGTTCCCACACCACTGACGCTGTCTGACATTTTATATAATTTGCGTACTTATCACACCTATAGTTTAGCCTGCCCCCCCACAGCTACTCCAAGTGGTGGAGAATGTTTTATTGTACCCACAGCCCCCGAAATAGTATCCTGCATATAGGAGGTGCTTAATAAATATTTGAGTGAAAAAAATAATACTCATTTTTGCTCTTCCATCCCAAGTCTTCTGGATCTAACAACCCAGGTTGTAACACCTCTGGTCCGGTGCCCCGCCCCCACCCCCCGATTCCCGCTTCTGCCCGAGAACCCCGCGCCTCACTCACGCCCAGCCCTGGCCCAAGCTGCGGCTGGCCAGCATCACGCCCCGGATGCTGGGGTCCGAGCGCAGGAACAGCCCCACGTTGCCTAGCAGGTTAAGCAGCTGGAAGGCGGCCAACGCGAGCTGCAAGGCCCGGGCTAGGGGTCCCAGCGGGGGTGGCCCGGGACCCAGCACCAACACATAAGCCAGCTCCAGGACCACCGCGGCAGCCCACAGCGTCGTGAGCACGAGAGGCAGCCGCGCAGATGCCGGGTCTGGGCTCCCTGAAGCCCACGGTTGCCCCATGGTCCGGACGCACCCGCTCTGAGAGCTTTAGGACCCCGCCGCTTCCGCACTGGGGCAGTGATATCGGTAAACCGACGTCTTCAACGACCAATAGGGACTCCGAAGGGGTGCGCGGAGCGCTAGACTCAAAGGGGGAGGTCGTGGATGCCGAGAGCTGATTGGTCAATTGAACGAGCCAGGAGGTACTCAAAATCCGATTGGCATCCGAGTCCGGGTGCCACAGCTAAATCTTGCCCCGCCCATCGCGCACACTCCGCCCGCTCCAGCGAAAGCCAGGCTCGCGGGTGGCGGTGGCTGTCTCTCCAGCAGGATTGGGTTGCACCCTCTGTGGCTTCGGGGTTTCCCGGCTCAGCACATTCTGCCCCATCTCCCCGCAGGCGCCCGGATATTAATAGCCCTGCGTAGGACTATCCAGCTGGCTCAGAACCCCTCCCTATGCTCGGGTGTCTCCCTTCATCACCCTAGAAAACATTAAAGCAGCTCGGGGCCTCCTGTGTTTCTGACTGTGAAATGAGGATGGGGCTCCGTTTCCATCCGCGAGGCCGGAAGAGGCTCAGGAGAAGGCCTCGAGGGCAGCTTTTAGGGCGGTCTGCAACCACTGTCAAGTGTTGTCATCTCGGTTTTACAGATGAGGAAACAGAGAGGGCCTGTGGCTTCCCTAAGGTCACACAGCACCAAAGCCATGGAGCTGGAACCGAATCCCAGATCTCTACCATGAGATCCACCCCAGCGTCCCACAGTTCGCAACCCCTGGCTCCAGTGCAATCTGTAGTCTGGCCCCGACCCGAGAGCCTTAACCCCTGTCCGGCCCCACCTCCTCCCCCATATTTAGTGCGAATTCGATCCGGGGCTGGGCCGGCCACTACTTAACCGGCCCCGGGGTATCCCAGAGCGCGCGGAGCGAAGCGGACCCCAGGAGCCAGAGCGAGATGATGATGGTTATGCAGCCCGAGGGTCTGGGGACCGGGGAGGGACCCTTCGCGGGCGGCGGGGGCGGCGAGTACATGGAACAGGAGGAGGACTGGGACCGCGACCTGCTGCTAGACCCGGCCTGGGAGAAACAGCAGCGGAAAGTGAGTGCTCGCCCATTTCCCCAGGGCAAAACTGAGGCCTGGGAGGCCAGCCCTTGTCCTGAGCATCTCCAGCAGTGCAGAGGCACAGCTCGACTTTAACCTAGTCTGCCACTGCCCAGCCCACGCTCTGCCCACCAGCCCGCTGCTGTCCCCTAGGGCTGGAGAAGCTGGCTGGGAGCCCTCATGAGGGTCCAGGGTGTCAAGAACTAGCCTAGGATCCCCCCATCTTAGGTTTACTCCTCTGGGCCCACTTCTGGTGGCAAAAACAGATTGGGCAAAGCCCAGGAGATATAGATAGGGGAGATGGGGTTTAGGAAGAATAATCTCTCTCTCCATGCCCACCCAGCTCTCTAGTTAAATATTCTAAGAGCCCACTTGAAGGAGGCACTCTGGACCCTGGGGGACTTGGGAGTGTGGGGAAAGGGGTACCTCAAACCCCACTCCACCCTCTTCTCTGTATTTTTACCAGGGTGAGTCCACTCTATTTCGTTTGACAGCTGAGGAAACTGAGGCTCAGAAAGTTCAGAGATGGGCCCCAAATGATATAACGCCAGGAAACAGGAGCCTTCAATCTGGGTCCCTTGTCCCACTCCCAGTCTTTCCCAAGATACCCCTCCTGCTTCAGGGGCCCTGAGTCTGCTGAAAAGGCCACAAGGTCTGGGAGGAGGGGAGCCCTGGGTCCCCTTACGCGGTAACCTGATGCTTCAGCCAGATGGGCACTTTGTGCTGAGACAGCGCCTTGGGGGAGCCTGACAGGGGCCTGTGGGCAGCTGCTGCCCTGCCCAGCCTTGTAGGGCACTCGGGCCCTCCTTCCTCCCTGAACTATTTTCATTCCCAGACTTTCCCTAGTGGAGAGGGCAGGACACCTGGGTTCCCTAAAGAGAAAATGATCCCAGCTTGAATGAGAAAAATTTGAGGAGTGGCAGACGAGTAGGGAGGGCACCATGAGGTCATCAGGCACTGCTGAGTGTTTGGCAACAGAGCAAGGCACCTGGAAAGGGTAGGAGGACACTGGGGTGCTGTGTGGAATTTGCAGGATCTGAAAATCCCAGAATCTAGAATCAGAGCACTTCTGCTGGGTTGTGACAGGAGTTGATCCCAGGGGTTGGGAGGCTGAGCTGACTCTCCTGGGGTGTCCTGGGTGATACACCCCCCCCCCTGCCGGGGTGCCCCTGCACCTGTCTCCCAGCATGGCTGTGGTCCCTGGATTTGGTAATCTCCGGTGATGTCACCCCTGCTCCTGGCTCCAGCTGTCATTTGCTTTGCAACCACTCCTATTCCCACCCCCGCCACTCAGGCTTCTCCCATGTGTAGGTCCACATGCCCCTCACGGGACACATGCCAGTCTATATCTTTTCTTTGTCATCTAAAATATCAGGGGCATCCATTTATCCCAGCTTACAGCTACCCACTTCATCCATTCACATCCCCTGTCCTTGGACATTTGGGTCATTTCTTTCATATCCAACATTATTTATCACCAGGTTGTAATAAATATCTTTGTGTCGCTTTAATCATCCCTTTAACCCTGTCCCATCTCTGCTCCTGCACATTCTTTCTTAGCTGTAACTCCTTTATCCAACTGTTTCCACAGACCTGGCACAATCCCCCTTCCTCACACCTGATGCCTGCTTCCTCTTTATACAAACGCATTTGTGGACCGGGCATGGTGGTGCATGCCTGTAATATCAGCACTCAGGAGGCTGAGCTAGGGGGATCGCCATGAGTTCAAGGCCAGCCTACACTACATAGTGAGACCCTGTCTCAAAAAAAAATTTTTTTTTGTTAAATAAATATTTTTTAGGGGCTGGGGATTTAGCTCAGCGGCACAGCACCTGCCTGGCAAGCGCGAGGTTGTGAGTTTGATTCCCAGTACTGGAAAACAAAACAAAACATAACAAAAAAACAGCCAAAATATTTTTTTAGAAGTTCTAGTGCTGTTGGTGCCAGGATTCAGCAAGAGACAAAATAAAGCCCCTGCATGCCTCTTACCTCGCCCCTGCCCCTGGCCCCAACACCCTTTCCTGCCCTTGCCCGCGTTACCTCTGCCTCACTTGTCCCTCCACAACTAGGAGCTCTCTGGATCACAGTTCCGCCCACCTCCCTCCTGCCTGAAGCTTTGCTGACTCCCTGTAGCTCTCAGGATCAAGTTCAAACTCCCCAGCTTAACATCGAAGATTGTGCATGACCTGGCCCCTGCCGCCCCTCCGGTCCGCCTCTCACCACTGATCCCTAACACCCCCAGCTTCATTCCAGCAATGCCCAGAAAGTTAAGTCCCACAAACAGAGCAACTTTTTTCAAGTGGCCACCCCTGCCTGAAATGCCCTTGCCTGCCCTTCCTGCCTGGGTAGCTCCTGCTCTTCCTTTTCAACTCTAATCAAGTGTGAGCCCCTCCCTGAGAAGTCTCCTCTCTCCCCCAGTTTTTGAAAGATTCCTCCACTTTTCTCTCCTAGCACTTCTCAGGCCAGCATGGTTCTTTGATTGGGTGTGAGCTCCTTTAAGGCAGGGAGCACATCTCACACACTGCACCCAGACCTGCCTGTGCCCCTGCCCTGCCCTATTCCCTATTGAGACCCACAGCATCCACTTCCCAGGATTAGAAAGAACTGCAGAG